TCTCTCTCTCTCTCTCTCTCTCTCTCTCTCTCTCACACACACACACACACACACACACAATCTCACGTGGAAAGCTTTGCTCTCCTACCAGATCGACACTTGATGATCTCTCCAAAGTCGTCCTCCACCGGCTCGTCGCAGTAGTCCTCGGGGCGCACACCCTCCGCCATTGATAACAGGGCACCGGGTGTAAAAAAGTTTTATAATGAGGGGGGAGGGTTGAAAGAACGGACAAGTTGAATCGACCAGAAGGGGGAAAGGACACCCAAAGTACAAATCCAGAATAAACAGCCAAAAGGTGGAGCGCAAAAGGGTGACACGAGAGCCGAGCTCCGGGTGAAGACGGGGAGGACGAAGACAGGGGAATGACCGGCCGGTCTGTCGGACAGGGAGAGAGGGAAAGGAGCAGGTGTGTATGATGGGGGGGGGATTCGGGGGGGGGGGGGGGGGGCATTCGCACCTCTAAATAGAAGGATGCCAGGAGGTGGTCTCTGCGGGGCCCCAGTCCCGTTTTGCGGACGCCATGCGTAAAACCCGACACCAAGCGGACGCATCGGTGTTTATTTCCGCACTGGGACGAAGAGTTAAGCACTAGTATCAAGGTGAGTCAACCAGTTTGACCTCCGGTGGGTGGTGGTCACGTGACAGGCCACAACCAAAGTGTCGTTTTTCCTCCAGGCATCACAATTCCTCCCACAACACACATGAGTTTAGTTGGCCACTTTGATGCTCGTTGATTTGGGTCACAGAGTTTTGAGCAACACGGAAAGTTGGAAGAACTCCATGGTAAAATAGAAACTGACATTTTGATACACACTTACTATTATTAGATCTGCTGATTAACTGATATAGCCAATTTGGATTCCCTGGCTGTTCAGAAAGAAGGGATTGGTTACTGTATAATGGCTCCATTACGCACGACGCGCTGTGCATTTATGAGCCTGCTATTATTAGATATGAGGTTGTGATGGATCCAGGCGTGGCTCTGGGAACACAGACTGCCAGCTACACTGTAAGTGTTCCAAAAACAGAAACCTCGGCACTGACTGGCATCCCAAGCAGCCGACGGTCTGGAGCTGCTGTCTGGACAGGGACAAGGGGTGCGCTGCTGGGACAGGGAGGGGTGGAGAAAACCTATGTTCAGCTGCTCCACTTGGCAATGTTAAGGTAAACTCACAGTAAAAAAAATAATCACAGTAACACTGATAGTTTTGTTGACATTGGCTTTACTTTCTCATTCTTTTGGAAATTCAACATTTTTTTCATATATGTTTTGAGCCTGTTGCGCCTGGAATCACGCTCGACAGTGACGTCACGGAGTACATGCGTCACTGCAGCAGGGTGAGAAGTTAAACTACAGGAGTTCATGGGAAATAAACTCATATTCAGGGGCGTTTAATACTCTTGTAGCGCAGGTTTTACTCTCAAATATCCAAAGTAGGAGTTGGGCGCCAGACGGGAGAATAATAGCACTTATACACTGTCACTTTAAGAAAATGTTACTTTGAACAGTTGGAGAGATAACCCGACTAGCCTGCTAACCCCGCTACAAAATGCAACATAAGCAAAACCCAAACAAGTTTTATAATTTAAGACAGTTGTATTTGACACAAACATCAGAAATCAAATCAAAAGTGTATGGTTCATAATCAAATACCGTCTTAAACTAAAAATGTACATTCAATCGAAAGAAAAACAATTACTGAGTCCAGATATGAAAATCAAATGTCCATTGAGTAATTCAAATTAAATGAGGACTCCAGATAAATGTCAATCGTTTATGTAGGTGGTGAGTTTGGCTCTGGGTGGTCATGGCAGAGTGTGGACAGCAGGGGGCAGTCTGAGCTCAGGATAGGGAGTACAGTAGGAACCTCTACTGTAAACTGGGCCAGTGAGTCTTGGATGTTTTCCACGGCTAAGTTAACAAGAAAGGAGCTGTAGTTGATTCTAAAAAATATATAAATAGCGCAAGAGGATGGAAATGGTCCAGTGTGTTGTTGTCAAATCACCCACTGATTATGTGTCTGGTGCTAAATGACACAGAGTGTGGTAGACATTAGGTACTGACTGTGCTGATGAGAGCTAATCCAGGCGGAAAAGGCGTGCTGCTCCTCAACAGACCTCCGAATCTCCTGGAGGGTTTTTTGGCAGCAGTAGGGTTGGCAGAGAAACCATGTCACTGCTGGAGTTTCCCGTTCATCCGCTGTGCAATAAAATTAGCGCTTACTCTACTCAGTAATTTAGCTGTCTGCTTTTTTCATAAAAAAAAAAAAAAAATTGAGACTTGTAATACACAACTCTCCACATGGGAAGCAATAGAAAGTACAATAATTATATATTTTGTAATAATAAAGTTTCATATTTAGAGTTCACAGAAAAGTGTATTGTCTTACCAACAGAACAAATTACAATAATAATAATAAATGATAAATAATAATAATGAATAAAATAAAATTAAAATAATAATTAATACATACTGTACATATATACATACATACATAAATAAAATACATTATTTTAAAGAGGGATCAATGAACCAACTGGTGTATCTGTAAAAGGTATACCTGCTTTTTCTTGTGAATAAGCAATGACAGCACTTTTCAGAGGCAATTTGTGACTTTCAGCAGTCAAAAAACACAATTATTTGTTGCATCTCGTTGACAGGTGACAAGAGCAATATGTTATGTCCCATTATACTGTGCGACACAGACTCCTTGAAAAAAAGGCTCCTGGGAACTGTCGCATTAACACCGACTGTTATGTGACTTTGCGAGATCCTTTTCTCTTGCAGGGATCTTGGCGTTCCCTGCAGTGAAGTGTGCCTGTCACAGCAGCAATCAGACTCCACTTCACTTCACTCAGCACCTCTTGAGCTCTTCTTGTCACTCACAGGCCTTCTCAGCCAGAAATACAAATAAAAACAGGCTAAATGTTGAAACTCTGTTAATATGCAGTTTCTCTGAGCTTTCCTAGCTCTTACCTTGTGAAGTGGTGTACAGGCGTGAACCATCAATCTCTGTAAGCAGATATTCGCTTATGGATGCAGAATTTGTAGGCAACGGGACAAGCTTTGGTATCGAAAACGTTCTGGTGCCCTTTGGAGTCCGTGTAGTATCAACCAATCACGTTGCAGCGGGCTTTGGTTGCATGCAGGCAAATAATCCATGTGGAGAGCAAAAGAGACGGGACACCTTGGCTATCATCTGGAATATGCAAAGCAGGTAGTGGAGATTTCCACTTGAGCGGTACCAAGCATCTGACTAGTAGGGTGACAAAAGCTGTGAAGTCTTCTTCTACGGATTGGAGTGGTTCTGTAGCTGGAGTTACAGCGAACAATGCAATCATAGCATTAGGTTCAATACATTTTCCAGTAACCTTTGACAATGATCGAAAGATTTCCCCCCCCAAGTATGACTGTAAGCCATCCAGCTGTTTATTTTTGTGCACAAAAAAAGTGAAATATTGCAAGTTACAAATTATTTTTATACTTACATCATCTCATTGCGCCCACTTCTTCTGCAATGCTTTAATGGCACCCAACTGGAGACTTAGCGCCACCGACTATTTTGATGCGCTCCACACCTTATGCTCACAAATGTATTTAAGGGTAGTGGTAGCAGCGTTAGCATACAGCCCATGTTCACAATCCAGAGTAGATTGTATAGTGGATTGTGTATTTTTCTGTTGTTAAAGGAGAAACAAGCTCTGTCCTGAAATAAGAATGAGTTTTGTAGAAAAATGTAACTGTTAATGTAAACTTAAGTATTCTTTATGTTTGACTCTATCAATCTGATTTCCATTGTTGTAAAATGCTTTAGAGTTAACAACTAGCTCAAATGCAGGTAGACGAAGACAGACTGTAAGCTGGGAAAGTGTGGTTTGCGTTTCAGCCAATGGCAAACAAGACTGCGTCATCAGCATAACGGACATTGCAACTAAAAGCATACATACAGCATTTACACCTCATAATGTATCAATGACATTACCAGAATAATAAGGTCAGAAAGAATACACCATGTTTTAAAATAAAGATACCAACCAGAATATCGTGACCTAGATATATTATAGTTAGTCCCCTGGGCCTACCTAGTGGTGGCTCTCCTTTTTCAGGATGCTCTATTTGACAACTTTAACTCAGCATACCAGGAAACTACAGTGTATTATTGTAGTGTATATTGTGCTTAATTTAGATAACACTGGAAGCGAAATAAGCATGACAGTGATCATTTCAGAGCTGAAAAAAACAGAGGACAAAAGACAGAGTATGTGTCAACGAAATGAGACGGAGAGTGAGACGGAGACGTTCTGTTCAGTGCTTTAATGTGCCAACGTACAAAGAGATAAATGCTGATTACTGACATCTCTACAATGGCATCTAAAACATGCCAACACACACACACACACACACTCTTTCTCTCTCTGTCACACACACATTCATACACACTTCCTAAATCCCTACGCACACATCAATAGACAGTGTTTCTCTCCAGTCTACTGGGAGATGATGCATAAAACAGAGCTGTCTCTGTTTGCAAGCCTCTAATTTTCATAAGTAAATTAATAACCAAACAAATGCTAATAACTAGGAGTCAGAGCTGGGCTAAAACATACAAGGAACCAGCACGGGTCAGACTCCCTGGGGCCACAAATAACAGGTATATAACGTATTAAAGGGGAGTTGTGTTAACGTGTGTGGTTCCCACTGAGAGGCCTCAACACAAATAATCTTATTTACCCAGAACCACATTTAAGTGCTTCATTAAAAATCAAAGCATGTAGGTCATTTCTGAAACTGGGCGCAAACATATTTGCATTGTCGTTTAGAAATCCCATAATTACAATTGACACGACATTGATTCCGGCACCTAATTAAGAAACCAAAACACGCGGCAACTTTAACTGCATCTGCTCGTTCCTGAAGGCACCAGCTAGGAGAAGTTGTCTCTTTGAATCTTGGATAAAAGACGTCATCATAATAACAGCAGCTACAGTTGTAAATCTTTGATGTGTAAGGGGATTTATCTCCTTTTAGAGTGTTTATGTGTCTGGCAGGTACATTCAGAATTACCACGCTCTAAATCAACAATGTTTTCAGTTTTTTTGGGGATATTAAAAAAGGTTCCTGTAAGTTTTAACCCAGGTCTGTTACAGTGTTAGTGCCTTAGGCTCCTCTACACCACCAAAGCACAGAGACGTTTCTAGGCAGTAAAAATACCCTTACTAAGCTGTAACCACACAGTATTAAATGCAGTAGCGACCATATCGTATATCACACTGGTGATGATCTTGATTACAGTCCTTTGTCATTGTGTCAGGACTTTTGTTTCACTCTGGCCATGGAGCGACAACAGCACCGAGTCAGGTGACACAAAGTGCTTCATCCACGGCCTGACTGAAAATCCGGTGACCCAACAAAGCTAAACACTGATTAACCGGAGCCCCGCCACTGAACCGGTGAAGCTGTGACATCTTTCACACTGATAAATTACTGAAGAGCGGGGTCACATGCTGAGAGTCAGCCGCTGACCCATAAAGCTGGTATGGCTAATGGAATAATGGGTGTAACGGTGAGCACTGTTTCTGTTTTCACTCAGTGCTAAATAGAAAGATGGGGGACATCCAGTCACTAAAATCCACATAAAAGCATTGAAGTTCCCCTCAGAAAACCTTACTTTCATATAACACCAGCTCAATTCTAATTAGTAGGATATATACTGTGAATTTACAGCATGAGGTTTATGTCAGTCTGAAAAGGCTTGTAAAGTGAGATTAAGTGACTTTAATCGCTACCACATCTTGCCCTTGATTTATTCTTTAGTGACACTTTACATTACAGCCTACAAGTTACAGTGTAAATATTTTGTACATGCATGGTACCAATGACAATATACTAGAAGGGCAATCGGAGAGCGCAGACCTCCGTCAAGGACGTTTCCATAAGTGGAAAACAACGCGTGTGTCTGCCCTGTTATTGTGATGATTGGGCCTGTAGTTTTTCCGTAATTCTAATGACAAACATACCAACAAACCAACAAACAAATGACCCGGAGACGTGTTTAGGGGTTACGTTGAAGCAGGTCTAGGTTATTCTCTGACATTAGTTTCATACGTCAGAGAAATCCTAAATTGGATTAAATACTTTATTACTGTACTCCAGTAATGAATCATGTGGTGGTTAGCTTAGCTTAGCATAAAGACCCGGGGAAATCTTTTACTGTACGGATTAAACAATCAAACATAAGTAGTGGGCTTCAGAGGTGCTGGTAGGTAGACTTTGTAATTCACACAGCTAGCTTCTTCCCCTGTTTCCAGTCTTCATGCTAAGCTAACATAAGCTATGCTAACCAGCTGATGGCTTCATATTTAGAGTACAGACATCAGAGTGGTATCAACTAACTCTCTTCAAGAAATATTAAGTACTCCATTATATTTGTTTCAAAATAAATGAGAACATAACTAATTTCAATATCAGTATTGTTACCATTTTTCCTGCTTTGTTACCCAGCAACAATATTACTGTACCCTGTAATTGTTAAATAGGTACTCAGTAATTAAAAAAATACTTATAAGCAATATAAGTTATGACACAAAGCTGGACCCTTAATTTCCTAACCTCTTCGCCTCTTTTCTTGTACATAGTTATCCTACTATAGGTACCCATTGTATTGTATGCACACCCTATATATATTACATAATTATACTGTAATTTGCTGGCTGTAATCTAATGCGTGACCAAATCTTCTTCTAGTTGCATCAGATTTCAGTCGTTAATAAACTTGAATGAGGTAATTTTAGAAGCAACGCTGTTGGAGTGACAGGCAGAGCTCATTAACAACACAGGAAACAATTGTGTCCGTGGTAAACGTCATCCTGTCAGTTTATTTCAAATAACGGGACTTCTGTCAGCTGCATGAATCGCGGGGCGGCTGCACAGTTCTACATTTTGTTAAGGTGGCGAGGGAGCCAGCCTGGATCCTATTTTTGGGAGGAACGGCTGCTCGACAGCTCCACGGTAAATATGTGACAATGTAGAGCACCAACAAGACGCTGCCTGTATCTCCGAAATGTCACCTGGAGAATTCTTATTTTACATTTGACTTTTGAAATTGCAGAAGGAAGAATGGAGATCACGGGGTTATGAAAGTAACTCAGCACACGGGGCTGAGATAGAAAACATAAAAAGGTTTTTGCTCTATGAAAGCAAAAAATTGCGTCATCACCTGCTTTATTGCCCCATAAAATCTGTATAGAAGTTATTTTATTTGCTTCTCCATCCATTTTTACACCCAGACATTGCATTGCACCCATGGCTACCACCCATACAACTCACAATTAGAGCCAAACCCAGAGGGCAGGGGAAACAGTGGAAATGAGATAAATACTGTTTAAATGTAAATCCGCCTATTGGGACATGAACTCAGTGATTATCAGATGTTCTTTTCTGTAAGGTGCTGATGCTTTGATGTAAGAAACAATCCCACTTTTTGTCTTTATGCACATCTATAAATCCCAGCAACCATATAATAAGACAATAATACTGCTATTTGACAACTTGGGTGATATTTGAATCTGCCAACAGATGCTTTTCAGGCTGATCCCTGACATTCACTGTAGACAAGGAACCAGCAGTCTGGTGTTAATGAAAGGAGGCCCTGAACTCATCGGTAGATCCGCTGATCTGGTTTCAGCTTCAGTGGCTGTGTTTACATGCACACAGTAACGCATTGATTCCTCATACCTGGAGTTAGCCGATCGTCTATTTGCGTCCTTGATCGTCATCCTGGTACAGTGAGTTAAGTACTTCTTTAGATTATGTGGTGATTTTGATTTTACAATTTGTCTGCACCAATGCAGGTAATGCAAATTTCTGAAAACACAGTTAGGGCAATGAGAGGAAGATCTGTGGACATATATCCACTATACCACAATATCCATAATAACTATATCTTAATTTCAAATTTAAACTAAGATTCTCCTAAATAGACAAGAACTGAATGTCATTCAAAGATCATGTTTGGCATATTGATGCTCAAGATTCTTGTTCTCTACCCTATCAATCATAACGTAACTTCATAAATGAAAGATGTGATTTTAAGTAAGGTTAAACCAACGCATTCTAACTCCCAACTCGTCAAATATGGCCGCTCGGTCAGTGCCCCTACGCTTCGAACTTTGTCGCTCAGCTTTGGACGGTGTTTCAGATTCCCCTTCATTACATGCATACAGTTTCTTTTCAAAATAAACTTCCACCGTAGTTTAGGTTCACTTACTCAACAACCTAGTTAGGTTTATTGTTGAAATGAGTACGTTTGTCATGTAAAATAAGTATGCACTTTATGTAACGAGCAATAAGTAGGCTACGTAACTTACTTAACAGCTCACAAACACACACACACAAACCCCTCTGAAACCTAAACGCTTGAGTATAGTGGACTGCAGTAAGTGGCAAATAGGGAGCGAAGTCCAGCCTCTTGATTGAAAGCTAAAAGGCCACACTTCCTTTTCAGCTCCACCTGAGCTACTTGTGCAACTTTTAAGAAATGAAACAAAGGTGTCTACATGGCCGACGGGGTTTTCTAATAAAGTCAGAGCCCTCCACAGGTGTTTCTGTGATTTTACATCCTTCAGCTGAGTCCATAATCATTACTGCGCTCCAACTGCAGATGCTGACTTCCTTCAACTATTGATGTGCATGTAAACATGCCCACCGGAGGCCGTATCTGTCTGTGGGTACGTATAGCAGACACTCCTATCGACAAACAGGGGAGGAAGGATGCTCCGAGCGTCACCGCGTGCAGAAGCTCAGCTCATTGGGAATCAAAAATGCTGCGGACACTTCAGAGGCAGCCGAGCGCGGCCCCGTCTCACACCACACGACCGCGGCTAATCAATCACGACAGCTGCATGTGCACACCCTGTGGGTTGCCACGGTAACAGACAAAGTGGGTCGATAACGGAATATTGAGCGGAGTGTCTATATTTTATCCCCCCCCCCCGTCTCACCTGACACCTTCCCCCCATGAGGAATCTAATTGTCTTATGAAAGGTTATGAAGCACAAAGCGTGGTGTCTGATCCTCTTCCACGTCCTTGTGAAGAGCTCCAGAGGACTCTGAAAAAAACTAAAGAAGAATGCCAACACTCCTAACTAAGCACTGATAGTGATGCACGGATGGAGAGTCTGGGGGGTTGGATTTCGGATTTGTTGACGCCCAGCGGTAGGATTTGATGTTGACGGGTGGCGATGCATGTGCCTTTGCATGTGCATGCGTGTGTGAACGTACGGCAAAAGCCTACCAGTCTCACGTTCCTGTCTCCTAAGTTGGGTTGCTACAAGTGACTTGCAGTTTAGTCCGGGGGGGGAGCAAGAACGGAGGTGGGATCGTCACCATTAACCTCCATCCTTTTGTTACTGAAGGCTTGTCAGTCCTCCAAGTCCTAGGATTGAAGTACAACTCCTTCCCACCCACCCTCGACCTCCTCCCCAGGACCGACCTGGTGATGTTAGGGCTATGAATTAAAATACGTAGCCTAAGCGCTCTGTTGAATGAGGGGAGAAAAATAAATCCCCCCCCAAAGCAGTATCAACCCCTAGAATTTCACCCAGGGAGGAAGCTTGTGGCGATACATTTATTTGCTCAAATACGGTGTATAGTATTCCTTACAGTTCTTGGGATTGAGCCGTTGAAGAAAAAAAAAAATACCTCCCTCAGGATGTAGGGTTCTAACTTTCAATCAGAGCTAGTAATACTCCTCGTAGTTCTTGGGGTTGAGGCAGTAGAGGATCCCTCCGCCGAAGGAGAAGATGGTCCCGCCCCAGGCCAGGCCATAGCCCCAGTTGAACTCGTGGTAGATCCTCAGGTTGATGCTCTCGATGAACTTGATGGGGTAGAGGACCAAGCTGCAGGCCTGCAGGACAACTGGAGGAGACGCGCAGACGATAAGTCCAAGGCAAGGTATCATGTCTTAAAGGGGACATATGCTCATTTTTCAGGTTCATACTTATATTTTTCTCATACTGTCTGCCTGGATATACATACAGTCTGAACCTTTCCTTTAAATATGTATGTACTGTTTAATTTAGCAATTCAAAAAAAAAAAACGTCTGTAGGATTAAACAAATGGAGTCAACATGGAAGAAAGATGTTTGTCCTCAGTTATTGAATCAAAGAGATATTCTGAACAAACTTTCTCTCATGTAAAGCAAGTCTGCTGCAAATTTGAATGAGATTGGGTTCATGAATCACATACACTTTTTTCTTTTACATTTCTTAGCAGTCACGTACAAAACACTTTAGAAATACACTTCAACAATTAGCATCGACTGGCTCGAGAAGAGAGTCGCAAGCCCGGAGGGAATGTCATTTAGCTCCGTTTAGTTCGTCGGACACATTTTGGAAGAGCAAAATAAATCAAACTTGATCGGGCAAGAGGCGAGGGAAGGGGACGATGGTGGAGGAGAGGAGGACAGAGGGTGAACCGGGGAAGAGACAGGGGAGAGAAAGAGAGGTGGACTTAAGGAAACGGGACAAGTGAAGGAAAGGATGAAGGGGGGTGGCAGAGAGATAGATTTTTAAAAAGGGAGGGGGGGAGATGGATGGCGGTGGAACAAAGGAGAGCACATCAATGGTTATTTCTTCAAAGAGAATTCCTCTTGCGGGAACATAAATGAGCTCTGGCACTTTCCTGCGTGTAAAAACAACAACAACACGGAATGCATAATCTCCAAAAAGCACGCAAACATTAACACAGACGGCGTGAAAAACAGCTTTAAAGAAGGTATTAGTTGTCTAGTGTGTTTGTGATCTATCGTTCACCGAGGATTCTCTTCATAGTCCATCGGTAACACAATTCGCCTTCGTGCTCGGCTTTTAAGATATCTCAGAGAGGCAAAAACAACTGCTGTTTGACAGCTCTGTTTTTTTGATTGTTTGCATGTTGAAATCTTTTACATACATTTGTGTTCTTGTGCAGGTTTACTGGTGAGATGCCACTGCAGTAATAGCAGGGATTTTGAGCATCCAGGGATCTGGAAGCAAAAGTCCTATTCATTTCCTGCAAAGACAGCGTAAGGTGACATGGCATTGGAGCCCTGCCGAGGGTCAGATGGACATGAAACTCATCATCAGCACACGAGATGATTTTTGGTACTTTGATTTGATTTTTTTGTTACTGTGTGACTAACATGGCGTCCAGAGCAGTGCATTGCTGAGCTTCCTGTCTGCTTCTCAAAGCTGGGAGCATGCCGACCACCAGCTAAGTCGCTGTAGGTAATACACTCTGACTCTTGTATGGATTTATGTATATATATGTAGCAACGTCCATATGAAGAAACTTCCGTCAAGTCACATGATAAAACATTTTTAGAAAACTTTGGAAAATAGGATCTTTTCGCTAAAACATACGTACTTTAACCAAGATTTAAATGTTCGGATTTTAATAAATCAAGCAGCACTGACTGCTATAAAAATATTTCTGGGACCTGTGGCTCTTCTCACACTGCACCTTTTTATGTCTTTAAGCTGGTAATGGCACACTGTCTGTTTGCTTTGTTGAGGCTAAAGACAGAAAAGCTTCTAAATCACCACAGCATGCAAAATGATTGTATGAATGAACAGTCAAATGTCAATCCAAAAGTAATAAGGAGGTTTAATTCCAATCCGTTTATGCATTTTCAATTCTCATACATGCTTTGAAAGTATTTTTTGGGGATAAGAAGACCATGAGTCCATGAGAAATCACATGTAATATGTAAATCTCTACACGGTCCCTTTAAATAAGATTTCCTCTGCAGTGCTGAATCTCATCTGTGGTTTGCACAGTATGATTCAGAAGGCAACACATCCAGCTTTGCAAAATGAAACCTTTCACGCCTAAAAAAAATGAATTCGCCAATTATTCCGGGAGGTTAGAAATGGAGGGAATGTGGAAACTTGACGGTTGTCCAACTTGAGATTTGGGGCTGACTGGGGAAATTAAAGGGACAGGCGTGACCCTGCAGGGCCCGACTCGTAAAAATAAGATTCTCTCTAAATGAGTTTGAGGGAGAGAGGGGAGTTGTGTGTGAGAGAGTGTGTGTGTGCCTATTTAATGAGTAAGTAAGGATTATCATTTAAATGCATGTCACTTTCCAATGTGATTACCCGGCAACCTTCCAGTTACCTTGTCTAAATTGGCTAATTAAGTGTGTGTGTCATTAGGTGTGTGTGTTTTAGCGCATAATGAACGTGTGGCCCTCGACCCAGTACTGTGTGTGCGCTGACCTGCGGCGAAGAGCATGAAGGCGACGGGTGCGTAGAATCGCCGTCTCGTTCCGATGCACACGGCAACCAGAGCGACCAGGAATGACATCAGCACCAGGGCTCCACCCCCTAGCAACAGGGCCAGCGTTGCAACCTGCCAGTCTGGAAAGGAAGGAAAGTGGGAAAAAGTGAGTGAGCACGAGGAGGCAACGTGCATGCAACATATCGCATAAAAAACAATCACATTTAGAGAACAGTCATGAATAAATGCAACATTGCCAACGCATACCGGAGCCAAAAAATGAAATGCACAAGACCTCGAGGGGGGCCTGGAGAAACGTAGTATTGTATTTGACAATTTATATCATTGCCTTTACCACCATCAAGTAGGTTAATTAAACGGAGAACGAGGGAGGAGGTGAGGACGGAAGGAGAGAAGGTTTAATAAAGGAAGGGGTGAAGATTTAAATAGGATGGAGACTTGAGGAGGAAAGACAATAGGGTGAAGAAAGGAAGAAAGAAGAGAGAAAGGGGTGGGAAGTGGAAGGAAAGACAGGAGAAGCAAGGGGGACAGAAGGAAAGACACACTAAGGAAAGAACGGTGGTGAAATTAAGAGTGAAAGAAAAAGAAGGAAGTGAGGAGTAGATGGGGGAGTAAAGGAAGGAAAGTTTGGAAAGTGAAAGGAGAGAGAGGGTTTGGTGAATCAAAGGATATCAAAGGAAAGAAGAGAGGCAAGAAGACAGGAGGAGAAAGATGAAGGAAGGATGGATTGACAGAAAGGACAGACAAAGTTAAGAGAAAGAGAGGAAGGGAATGGGATGAAAAGCAATGCAAAGAAAAACAAAAAGGAACATCGAAAGGGGATGATGGAAAGAAAGGAAAGAGGGAATGGGGAGAAAAAAAGTGATGCAATTAAGGAAACAAAGGGAATATGAAGAAGGAAGCGAGGGGGGAATGGAGTAAGGAAAGAATCCTGGAAGGACAAAAAACACATAAAAGAGGAGATACTTGTAAGTGGAGAGGCACCAACATCATGTTACAAGGACAAAGAGGAGGCGGCGTGAAAACAAATGCCAAAAGGAGGGGAAGAGGAGGTGGTGGTGGTGAAGTTAAAGGGAGTGAGGGGCGGAGGAGGAGGTTAGGAGGACGTGATGGGGCCGGAGACAGAGTGAAAGTAATGAAGAGCATGAGAGAGAGCACTTAGTATATCTGAGCTGACAAAAAGACTCAGCTAAAAAGCTTTACTGGCATGTTATCAAAAATCTGTCCGCATTTATATATAGGGAGCACTGTGGCTTGATGCACACTGAAGTAGAACACACACACACACTGATATATGCTCACATAGGTAAAGCCACACTTAAAGTTGGTACCATTTTTATGTCACACCAGACGGAGTTGTCTTAAAACTTGCATTCTCTCTACTGACCAGCAGGGAAGGACTCCTCCGTTTGCAAAGAGAAGTCTATGAGAAAATGACTCTACTGCTCTCTTGATTTATTCCCTCAGTAAACATTGTAAACATGAGTTTATGGTCTCAATCTCTAGTTTCAAGTCTTCTTCAATACAGCATGATGTTCATTTAGTAAATTATGGTCCATTTAGAGTCAAACAGACCATAAAGCAGGGTGTGATTTAGGGCGGGCTTACTGTGATTGGCAGGTCACTGATAGATAAATAAATAGCAACATTGTGTGTCTGTTCTTTCATATGTGATAATTCCTAGATTTCTTTCAATGAGGCTCTATCTTTTTCTTCTCTACAACGATTGCAAACTATTTTTTTTTCACGTCACACATGTAACAATCTTCATGCTTATATCGATAATTGAAATTCACTATGATCAACATATTGTGAGTATTTTTATCGCAATCCGCCATAACGTCTTATATCGCCCGGTGCCAGGGTGGATTTAACTGAGCAATTTTGTATTGCTGGTGTTACTTGGCGTTTAGGGGCTTGATACACACACACACACACACACACACACACACACACACACACACACACACACACACACACACGCGCGCGCACACACACACACACACACACACACACACACACAACTCATCATCTAATCCATTTGTGCTCAGAGGGAGAAAAGAGATTTGACCATTTCTCTAACCTTTTCTTCCCCCTGTCTGCCTTCCCACTGTGTAAGCTGCTATATAACCTATTTCTGTATTACACAGCTGAACTTGGAAGTACGATATTGCAAAATATATAAAGAAATAAAATAATCTGTGCTCCTTGAGGATATACAGTAGCTCCTAAAAGGCAAACTTCAAACTGAAAGCTCTGGATAAAACATCAATGAACCGTCTGACGCAGAAATGTAGCTGTCAGTAGATGCAGAGCTAATGCACAGTAGTTGGCATCAATGGTATACTGCAGGGCTGTTAAAGTGAATGTATTTAGTGTTTTACAGCGAGGCTATTTAGGCTGTGTATATACAGGTTTACTGCTCTAGCCTGGTTAAAAAAAAAAGCTTATGAAAGATGGATGGTGGAGGTGAGAGATAAAGAAAATGAGAGATTTAGAGGCAGAGGGAGGGAAAGAGACGGAGATAGAGGTGAAAGATGAAATGCAGAGGTGGGAGGCAGAGAGGGAAGGAGGAAATTAAAGATGAAAGAGAGGGAGAAGTAGTGGGAAGTAAAGAAAATAGAGAGCAGAAAGGAGAGAGGAGAGATAAAAAGCATCTTATATGAAAATTCTCAATCTTGAATGATGCTGCTGATTAGATCTGGACAAACATCGTTTCAGTTTTATTAAAATGTCTCCTTGCAACAAGATATTCCTCTAGTCTCCATTCTCCAGGCTTTGACTCTGCATCTGCTTGCTTCATGTTTTAGGTAAAGCCCTTCAGGCTAAAAGTCTGGTTTTCCCTTGAAGTCGGCTCAACAAAAAGCAACTACAATCCTGTGGCCCCCTGAGAGTTGCCCCGAAAACGTTGCCCTGTATAAGCAATGCAACAAGGACAGGTGTATGGAGGTGGAGGGTTTAAATAAAAGGGTCTCAGGAGGCTCAGGTGGTTCGTCGTGCATTCATATTTAACTTTTACATTCCCCCTTAAGCGCCCAGCTGCTTCCCTCTGTGGAAGTGGCCAATCAAATGGCAGCGTGAAAGCGAAAGGCATCAAATAACCAATCAAAAATAATGTCTATCACACACACATACAATCTGCCTTTTTGACATGTGTTTTATCATTGGAAAATATTATACTATAAAAATGTGTATGTTTGGGGGGCAAACTTGCAGTCTTTTCAAAATAAACCTCCATGTTCACAGGAAACATACAGATTAGCATGCATTGTCTTTTCAAAATAAACTTCCAATTGTTGTCTCAAGGGCATATAGACGGTTGTCCCTACAAACATCTAAGCTAACTTGTGTTTGGAGTGAACACACACACACACACACACACACACACACACACAGGAGCAGAAGTGCTTGTTGACCAGTGTGGATAAATTCTTTTGTTGACGGGAATAATTACCGAGGTCCAGACCTCGGTAATTATTTCCTGGAGAACTGTCTCTTTGCATCTAAAGGAGGTGAAACTGCTTGAAACTGACAGCGATCAATAAGACAGCTATGCGTGGTGTGAGGTGACTGGAGGAGGCAGCGTTCACTGCAGCCATTTTACACAGAAACACGGTATTAAAACAAAAGTCAGTGCATGAAATATTAAGTTGAAGTTTGAGTTGGTCTATATCTTTTACAGTTGAAAAGGTGAAAACAATAGTTTTGGCTCACTAGCACAACAAATGACAAATAACACTGCTGGTTTGAATGTTTATGATGAAGTGGATCTGGTCTGCACTTAATCGGAGGTGGTGAATGAATTCAAATGCCTTATTGGGGTAAATAGGTGCCATATGCATATGAGTTTACTTCACATACAAAAGACACAAAAGAGGAGAGAGGAGTAAATTATGAATTCCTGAGTGTTGACTGAGCAGAGATAAGGACATTTTTTGGAAGGAAAGTCTCAGTCGACTAACATTCATACTATTGATTTAATAGACCGATCTCTAAAACAGATTTTCTCCACGAAGAATCACACAAAAGCACCACTATAAATCTTGTGTTTACCAGAGATGTGCTCATAAGTTTCTCGGAAATTAGTCATTCAGCATTGAAATGGATAAAAACAGGACTAACTGACTCAATAAATCTTAGTCAGCTAGGACTTAAAACAACCGATTAGTCAACTAATCAATAAAGAGATAACGTTGATCCACAGGAGAATTTATATTTGAAAGCAATACAGAATGCCGGCGAGCCTTACTGCATTGTATTACATTAGATTTTTATATATGATATATTGCTGAAGGCAAACAGGTCTCGGGGGAGAGCCCAGACTAAGAGCGGTTCAAAAGACCCTAATGATAAGCAGCCCACGGACTTTAGCCACCTCGCCCGGACCAGGGAAACCGGGGCACCCTCCCGGAGCCAGACCCAGGAGGGGAGCTCGTTGGCGAGCGTCTGGTGGCCGGGCCTTCGCCCATGGGGCCCGGTCGGACTCAGCCCGAATAAACAGCATGGAGCAGCCACCCTGTGGACCCACCACCCGCAGGGACAAGCATCGGGGTCGGGTGCAATGCAGACCAGGCGGCGGGTCAGGCGGGAGGCCTGGGCGAGCCGATCGCCGGCAGCATAGACTAGCTCTAGGGACGTGGAACGTCACCTCGCTAGCGGGGAAAGAGCCAGAGCTGGTGCAGGAGGTGGAGCGATACCAGCTAGATATAGTTGGACTCACCTCCACACACAGCGCTGGCTCTGGAACCAAGCTCCTGGAGAGAGGTTGGACTTTGTCCTTTTCCGGAGTTGCCCAGGGTGAGAGGCACCGGGCGGGAGTGGGGATACTCACGAGCCCCCGGCTGAGCGCCGCTGTGTTGGAGTTCTCCCCGGAGAACGAGAGGGTCGCCTCCATGCGCCTACGGGTTGCGGGGAGCAAGGCTCTGACTGTGGTTTGTGCTTACACACCAAACAACAGTTCAGAGTATCCGGCCTTCTTGGAGTCGGTGGGAGGGGTCCTGGAAAGGGCGCCACCTACCGACTCCATAGTTCTCCTGGGGGACTTCAATGCTCACGTGGGCAATGATGGAGAAACCTGGCGGGGGGTGATTGGGAGGAACGGCTTGCCCGATCTGAACCC